TATGATGTGTTTTTTCAAATACATGCGTTATATAGAGAAAAATATGATATTCTGTTGAGCTTCCTCAGTATAATTAGAGAAAATTTTCAAATTACTCACATCGAATATCGTGTTGAGACTTTCTCAGTATATAAATTTGATAAAGATTTCATTTTTTTCGTGTATAATAATTTTATGAACGAAAGACCTATTGATTAATATTGATGATTTTCAATTTTTTGGCGGTTTTGAACAGTTTTCAATCCGAGATGGTTACATCAACACATGAAGAAGATTTTGATTATCCAAGTAACTCATGATTGTTATCTTTTAAGGATTTAATCTTTGTGTATCAAATATTGTTTTCTTTATAATTTATCGTTGATTTTTCATTTGTATTCTATTTGTTTTTATAATAAAGAATATTCTGATAAATAAAAATTATTTAAGATCTTTATTGTAGAATACAATCCTAGTTTTTTTTTATAAAAATATGGAAGGGTTGAAACAAAGATGATGTCCTAATATCTTATACGTGTTTGTATTATTTTACCCTTCAGTCGCAAAAACAAATGTCTGGCATACAACATTGATTACGTTGCGTTAAAACGAAAAATTAAAAAAGGAACACAAGAGGATGTCTATGAAGCAATACTGAGTCAAATATTTACAACGGTAACTGTATCTCGTCATCCAGACAATCGATAGAAATACAAAGAAGCACAAATTCATTTATGACATTCATAGTCGTCACTTTTTTGTATGATTCAATAATTTTCTACATCTAAACAGTACTCGATTATTGTTGTAAAATATCCATAAAATTGCAAATGTATTTATTTACTAATACGATTAAATATAAATGAAACCATGGATATTATTATAAGCAGACTCGAGTTCACATATTTAAATGAATCATAGCTACGTTCAGAAACTGACATAGAATTTCAATACATGATGATAATTATAATAACAAATATTTGTTTTTCTTGTTGCTCTTATTTGAATATATGATTGTAAAATTTTTCGTTTGTTAATTGATCAAGTCAAAATCGATTTTATTCAGTTATATATATACTTGAAATTAAATTTTATTAATTATTTTTTCCTGTTTCACCAATATCATATCGTATACTATTGTTCATTAATGATAGGAAACTACTTGAGAACAGTAATCATTAGAATAATCAATGATAGATGCAAAATCACTACATTTAGTAATTATGGCGGATATCCCAAAAAAGAATAATAAAGTAAATGGATCCAATATAAACTCACAAGCTGTATTAAATAGCAAAAAAAATCAACGCATCAATTTATCAGATCAGCTATTGTCATACTATACATGTCGCCGACGCTCAATAAAATGGTATCAAAAGTTACTATTTAAATTGGTTTTTAAAACAGCAATAGTTGACAACTATTTCATATTATAAAAAAAAAGCTGCACAGAAAGCAATGAGACCAGTGTTCTGTTTCACTAAAGCTTTATGTTGGTTGGTTTGTAAAAAAAAAATAGCCAACAACAATCAAAAGAGATACATAAGCACTTATGTGATAACTACCTCTAGTACAGTGATCGTTATTATCATATCTTGAAGCCTTGTTGCGTACTCAAGTGCTGATTTATGGAAAGAAAGTCATTTCCTATCGACAAATCTTGAAGTCTGCGTATGTCAAGAAGGTGAAAAACTATTCGCCTAGGTGTGCACTATATTAGCAGTATTTTCAAATGCATTGTATCGAACTAAATGAATATTTTTGCAGTCTAAAAAAATAACTGACAGAGTTGAATTGATTGTTCTGAACCACGTGCAATAGCTACAGAGTCTAAATCAGTTCCAGTTATGAGATGAATTTTTAATGTAGATAGAGCTACAACAACACTTATTAGTCAAATAAGATATGATGCAAAAGAAATTGCATAAATATCGATCCTTATATCTCTTCGATAAATAGGTTCTTCGAAGAAAATTCTTTTTATTACTTGATAAGAAACTTTCCTTCTCTATCGAACAATGTATGATTTATGTTTGTCACAGATTGATCAACAAAACGAGATGAGAAAAAAAAGAAACACTGATGCAATAAAATTTTCAATTTTTTATACGAATTTATCAAAAACATCTTGTAGATGATAGGTAATTATTATTAACTGTCGTTTTACAATGTCTTTTTTAATCAGTCGAATTAATTATTATCTAACATGATGTTTCATCGCATTTGCGAATGTTTGAAAAATATAAATCGTACACTGTTCGATAGAAAAGAAAATTTTCTATTAACTGATAAAAAAAAATATATTCTTTTCAGGGCCTATTTATCGAAGAGATATAGAAATCAACATTTTGTGCCATTTTTCTGAATCTTACAAAAAGTGCGGATTCTTTTTAAATGTGTTTCTCTTTTCTGCTACATTGCCGATTACAATAAAAAAACATAAAAACTTTGAATCTTACTTAATCCAGGTTATTTTGTCTTGATCATTTCAATGAGAAATGCCACATCATAAAATAAATGAGTCAAACTCTGGTTTAGACGAAACGGATAAGAGAAGAAAGCATAAAAAATCCGATGGATAGAAAAAAAAAGCAAAATAAAGTATTTTTCAACACGTTTTTTTTTTGTTCTTCTTTTTAATAAATCATTCTTAAGTTGATTCGCAAAGGAAAAGAACAATCGAGCAATACCTTGAATAAATATAATATGAAGTGTATGATTTTTTTTGTTTGCAATTTATTTCAATACGAGTTTTCTTTGATGTCGAGATATGTTTTGATTGATGAAATTGTTCAAAAATGTTTAAATATGATAAGAATACATAATTAATAACAAATCACTATATTTCAAGGTTAAAACAAAACAAAAAGCATTTTTTCTGCTTCAATTAACACTTTTACATTGGTATGCATTATACATTTATTCGCTCGTTATTTAAATTAAGCCAATTTTTTTTCTCAAAAAGAAAAAAAAAAAATTTTGCTTCAGTCTAAGACGATCAGTAAACTAAACAACCTTTTTCTTTGAATGATGATTGAAGAAAGTTGAGTATTTATTCTTTCTCGATTCAAACATTTACTGATTGTACACTATGTTAATACACTTTTATTAGACTTTGTGGATTGTTTCATTTCCTCATGCTAATTTCTATGGAGACATGATTAATCATCTTCTCACATATTTACTGCACCCACTACATCCTTGCTCGCTCACACACGCCTCATTTTGAATGGAAAATTAATGACTCTTATTTTATAAATTAGTGTTAATTATCGAACTTATTATTTCAATGTATATCTTGAAAAAAGAAATCATGCTACAAAAAAAATAAAAGAAAATGTATGGGCATTGGCCCGCATTTGTTGTTTAACAATGCAATGCAATTAGACGTTTTTATTCGAAGGATGATCTCCCTTGAAAACTTTATTACAGTTTTTCATACATCTTAATTTTCATATGCAAATACAAGAAAAAAAAATCTATGAAAACGGCAAAATATTGCAAATGTCAAACTATTGACAGTCATTTTATATATCGTAATGTGTTACACGTGAGCGTGTCCCATAGAATTTAAATAGTATGTAGTATGAAATTACAAAGAGAAAAAAAAATAGTATGCATGCAAGTCACGACAACGACGACGACAAGAACAGCAAAATGAGGATCAACATATTGACATACACGCACATTCTGTCTTCATTCGTCTTCAAGATTGACGAACATAAGGTTTGCTATTTCGCTTCACTTCATTGGATTTCACCGGAGTCTATGTAAAAATAAGTATATTATATTGAATACTATAACCTATGTAAAGATCAAATACATATACATGCTCTAAGAAAAAAGTTCCAAATGTGGGTGGTACATATCGTTCAACTACATTTGAATGTATTTTATGTTCTGACCACATTTACACATGGCTCAACCATTTTTTTTTTCATCCTATCTAATCGAACGAACAAGAATTTATGAAAAAAAACATAAAAAAACCAGTCATCTTCACTATAAAAGTTCTATGTAGAGATGATTAGATGACTTTTATGAATTTCCGCAACGTTACTAAATTTTCCTGTAAGGAACATATAGAAGATAATAGATTGTGTGGAACTCTTACTTACAAAAATGCTTTTAGAATATGCGTAGATCGATCCATTAAGATTCTGCAACATTCTTGTGAAATTTGTTTACAGAGATTTTGAAAAAAAATTCGTAGTTGTATGCTTTGGTTAAGTGAATGAATTCTTTGTAAGGAAGACACTTAGACAAGGCAACTTTTTTCATCTGAAAAAAATTGTCTCACAATAATTTTGGTATACATCACGTATAAAAACATCATTTTTCATTTTTAAAATATATCAAAAATATTATGGAAAACTTACTTTTTTAAAGAACCTTTTATGAGGCAAGTAACTAGTTTTGAAGTTTCTCAATTGGCGTGAAAATATTTCAAAGAGAACCATGACTAGGATGTCTAAGCACGTTTTTAGAAATTCTTGTCTGCTTGAATAGTGTAGCTTATGAGTGTATATGCATGACTTCTGATAATGAGTTCGCTTGTTTAAATCTGACTATCATTATCTAAGATAATTATGGGATCCATTCGCCTGGATTGACTAAGAGTATTATAATATGATATCGATGATCAATCAATTCGAAACTGAGATGAATTTTTATTAACATTCTAAATATGCAACGCTTTTTTATTTAAACAATCTTTACATAGAGAATAAGCATGCTTTTCTTATAATTATGCAAAATATTGTTGAAGTCTTCGTTAGTATAGTTTTGCAAGGTATAAAACCGAATATTTACTATTCTAAGAAATTTTCTGCAGATTAAATCGAACCGAATTCACATCCAAATGAATTTTCTATTTTAATTTTTCATCCTAAATCAAATAATAATATCTGATCAGAAATTGATATTTTTCAATAGTCATATAAGAATTTGTAAGCTTTATAGAATAAAAAAGTTTTCATAACAAAAATCGATTATAAACCATTTAATGTATATTTTTAGAAATGGGCCAACAATTATTCAAAGTTCATTTAGACATAGATGACAATATAGAATTCAATTCAAATACAATCTCATTAATTGCTAGTAACGATGATATTAATTTTTTATTCTCATCAAAATTTTCTGATATAAAACTTAATTCAACTGAATTAAATAATGATAATCAAACAACAAATTCACAAACAGAATCCATTAAAAAAATTCGAAATGATTTAGGTTTATTAACAAAATTAGTTCAATGGGAAAAGATTAATACGGAAATCAATGACATACTTATGAATAATGTTTTTACTTTTGTCGTTGATCAAAATAAAAAAGTAATAGAAGAAATGAATAATCGTTTAACATACAAACAATATTTACAAACATCTGTAATAAAAAAACTCAAAAATGATAGCTATGAAAATTTATCTATTTTTTCATATTCATTTACTGATTATTCATCAGATAATACAACTACATTTTCTTCTGAGACTGAAGATGTACAAAAAACTAAATATCAATTTACACAATTATCTTATTTTGCCATACAATCATTAACATCAGTTTTATTAATACTAATTAAATCAGCTGAAAAAAATGATCCAATAATTATACATGAAATATTAACATTAGCATATCAACTATGTGAACAACTTCCAATAAAATGTTTGTCGTCAACAAATAGTTTTTTATTAAAATCATTAAAACCATTGATCGAGTATATAGATAAATTATCTTTAATAACAGATCCAATTATTTCAAAACAAGCAATTAAAATTCTACTTCATTTCTCCATTGCAAAAGGTTCTTTTAAAGATATCTTATCTATATTAACTAAACTAATATTTAATACAACTGATATTTATAATGTTAAAAATTTATTTATACAATTAAATAATGGCCTTACAGAAACTCTCAAAGAATGGGAAAAACAAAAACATACTTCAAATAGTGAAGAAAAATCTGATTCTCATATCGAGAATGATGATAATACAATATCCAAAGAAATGACAGGTAATCTTCATTTGCATTCCTCTCCTAGTGAAAGTACTAAATGCCAAATTCTTAGATATCAGAGATATCTGTCACGATAGAAAAAAAACTTTTCGTTGCGACCATAGTATTCATAACACAAAAATCTTTTGATTTATTGAACTTAAACTTTTATTACTAGTCCTTTCAATAATTACTATTTGTTAACATTTTTTTTCTTCAACTATCGATGTTGTTTTATCATCATATAAACAAAAAAAAAAAATATTAGAAAATATTAATGAATTCAAAAGAACTAAAATTTTTTGAAATTGTAAAAATATTTTTTTTATGCTGATGATTCTATCACTATATTACAGAATTTTTAATAATTCGAAATTTTTAGAATTTATTTCAATTGATTATTTAAAATCCAACGGTACATATCCTAATATAGAATTATTAAATTTAAACGAACAATTATTTACTGGACAATTTCTTTCATCAATTATTTTATCACATATCGATATTGAAAATCAAATTAATTCATTAACTAAACAAACAAATCTTAGTTCAATTTCATGTGAATTTCATCCAAATACATTTAAATATTTATTTAATATTATTGAACAATTAACAACATCATTATTATTATCATCATCAAATAATACTATTATTCATATTTTAAATATTTGTTTACGATTATTTACAACACATCTACAAATATTATCTGATATTAAAATTGATAATTATATTGATTATGAATTAAAAAAATGGTTTGATTTATTATTAAAATTAGTTTCTAATGAAAATTGTTTCGAATTTTCATTATGTGAAGAAGCATCAAAAGCTCTTATTAATATTATTCATATACAAATATTATCATTTGATGAAAAATTATTTTTAATGTATAAATATATTAATGAAAATAAATATTCAATATTAATTAAACAATTTTTAATTGAATTAAATAAAAATGAAATATTATTCGATTGGATTAATATTTTATGTGATGAAAATAAAAAATTTTCAATATTACAAATTTTATATTCATTTATTGATTTTTCTTTTAATAGAAATGATGAACAAAAAATTTTATTTGAACAATTAATATTTAAATTTCAACAATTTCTATTATTTCGATTAATTGAACAATATGAAAAGAAAATTTTAACTAATAATGAACAATTATCTTCTCTTATAACAGCATATCTTACATATATATTTAAATATTGTATTGAAAAAATTTCTTATACTAATAATTTATTCAATTCAATTCTTATTGGATTATGTTTAATGACTAAAACTAATGAAATATTTCTCTATGAATCTATTCAAACAATATTTATATCTATTTTACCTTTATTAATTGAATATTATTTAAAAAATCTAGATAATGAATTCATTTGTTTTCTTCTAGGTAGAATGACTTATGTTTTACTTATGGGTTTACCAAGAAATTCTCTAGAAATACAATATATAAATCAATTGAATTCACCAATATTTACTGGTGGATATATAACTAATAAAAATAATTATTTATTAAATTCTAATTTAGCAATTTATAGTCAATTTCAATTACCATATGATATACAAGATGATAAAAATTTTCTTATGTCAATTTATAATAATATTGATGATGGTGAAAAATTAATAATAAAATTAAAAAATTTTACAAAAAATAAACAACAACGTTTTTTACAACAATCAATTATAAGTCAAGCTAATGATGCATGTGCTGCTGTATTTGCTGTTTATATAAAATATTATCGTCAAATAAATCTTGCAAAATATGAAATATTACAAACAGATCAAACTCAACCACATAAGCAACTTTTAAGAATTTATGAATATGCAAATCATGTTTTAACAATATTTTCTACTGTTAAAGGACAAGGTGGTGATTGTGATGAACTTTTAAAACAAATTAAAATTAAAACATTATTTCTTTTATTATCAATAAACGAAAGTAATTTAATACCAATAATTAATGAAAATTCATCGTCAATAATCATAGATAAAACAATAACAAATAATTTTAAATATCAACGACAACAATCAAAATGGTCAAAAGCAAAACATGTTATTAAATTACTTCGACATATTTTTCAAGCTTGTATTCGTTTTAAAAAATTTATGTTAAGAAAAAAACAAGAAAGTCAACAAAAATATAATTTTGAAAATTTATTACATCAATCAATTGAAGATTTTCTTTATGAAGATTTTTATAAAATATCTCTATCGATAAATAACGAGGAGAAACCTATGAAATTAGATGAACTTGAGAAATGTCTATGTCGACAACATGAACGTGCTTTGACAAGATTGATTACATATCGATTTATTAAAACATTTTTACAAACTGTTCTTAATCTTGAAAATAATAATCAAAGTTTAAAAATTTTCTCAATTTATTTACCTTATTTAAGAGAAATGAATTTCGAATGGTCTTATTTTGATAATATATCAGCATGTAATAATCAATTAAAAGATGAAATAAGTAATACTTATTATTCAATAATTAAACTTATTTTATCTGCATGTTTAAAATCAAAAGATTTATTAGAAAAAGTTTTTTATTTACTTAATTTATCATATGAATCAATTGATCTTTATCATTTATATAATTATCAATTGATTGAAATATTATTTATATCATTTGTTAGTTTAAATCAAATCTCTGAACATAATAATATATCATTGAATATAAAATTGATTTCATTTAATTGGTTTCGATTATTTGTTTTTAAATTATGTGAAAATACTGAAAAATATACATTTAATCAAATATTAGATAAACAAGAAAAATATATTTTTAATACATTAATTTTAAATGAATTGAAATATTTCAAACAAATACAAGAAACATTAACAATTAATTCTGAAGAACAAAAAAATGATTCTCTAAAAAATATTTCTATCAGTTGGTTTCTTCAAATAAATGAAACAAATAATAATAATAATACATCAATCATTTCAAATATATATGAATTAGAACTTTATAAAAATCAATATTTAGTTCTTTTACTTCAATGTAGTTATTATTATAAACATATTTTATCTATTTGTGCAAATATTGATTATCTTAAAGAATTACTCAATATTTATCATCATAGTCAATCTAATCTTACACGTTTACTTACTATCAAATTTTTACGTTATTTAATTCCTTACATATCAGATAATATTGATGATATATCAAGAAATCTTATTGAAGAATTTTTAAATGAAATTTTAAATTCTATTGGTGAAAATAAAATTTCACAAGAAATTCTATCAGAATTAATCTATATGTATCGTACAATAATGTCAATTAATTCATTATGGCAAAGTATAGCAACAAATTTTGTAATTAATTCTATAAAATTATATTTAAATTTAAAATCTATTAAACTTAATCATATTAATGAAATGAATAAACTTTTAGCATCATTATGTATTTTAGGTGAATATATTGAACCTTATCGATTAGGTTCAATTGTAACTATTGATAATGATGAAACATTATTTGCAATAATTATTGAAATTAATTCAAATATAAATAATATAGAAACATCTTATTTAATACAATATTTACAAACGAATGATATTGAAAATGTTTCAATAGATAAATTAAAACTTGAAATTGATGTTTTACCACCAAATCTATCAAATATAGATGATATAATATTTGATATATTAGGTAATTTTATTCAAATTGATACAACAATAAATCAATCATTAATATTATTAGAATTAAAACGTCGTTCAATATCAGTTTTATATCATTTATTAAATAATAAAAAATTAATTGAAATATTTATTGATAAATCTTATATATCGACTATTGCTCAATTATGTATATCAAATTCATTAGAAAAAATTCAACAAGAACAAGAACAACAACAACAACAATCAATTGATTTTGATTTTTCAAATAAACAAGATTTAGAAAAATATTCTTTAATTTTAGATACATATAAAAAATTAAAATTAATAACTAATAATGAAAATAAGAATATAATTGATGATTCATTATATACAATATGGAATAATAATGAATTTAATCATGATCAATTAATTATGAATAGTTTATTAACACCTATATCAAATACAAATCCATGGAAACCATATGTATCTGAAATAGAAATGGAATTTTTTAAAAAAGGTCGAATTGGAAAAAATGAAATTTCTATTGTTCCAAAACCATATTATTTTGCTTCTTCACAAACAATTCAAGAATGTGGAATTAAACATCGATTTCATGGACGATTAGCACCTGATAATGATAATACACGAGAAAATTTTCCAACATTTATTATTGATAATTTACAATTAAGTGAAGGAAAATGGTATTATTGTGTTCGATTACCAGTTGGTGGAACTATTCAAATAGGATGGGCAACTAATGGTTTTGCACCTAATAAAGATCATGGAGTAGGTGATGATAAATATTCATGGTCTTATGATGGTTCACGAGCTGTTTTTTTCTATGAAGAAGGATATTATAATCAATTTAATAATATTCGTTGGAAAGATAATGATATATGTGGTTGTGGAATTGAAATTAATGGTATAAATACAAACATAAAATATTGGTTAAATGGAAAATTTTTAGGTACAGCTTTTACACATGATTCATATATACCATTATCGACAACAAAATGTAATTTATTACCAAATGGACCTACAACAACATATTTTCCAAGTGTTACTGTACAATATGGTGGTGAACCATTACGATATTGTGAATTAATATTTAGTCCAGAAGATATGGAAGATTGTCCATTACCAAATGGTTATAAACCTTTATTATTACCAAAACAAATTGATGTAAAAAATTGTCTTGTTAATTATCCTTTTAATGCTTATTTAATTGGTGAAAATGCTAAAGATTATTTATATACTACACGAATAAATTCATCTAATATATTTCTACGTGATTTTATTAATGAACAACATCTTGAAACAAAATTTACTTTAGATAATAATAATCATTATCTTATTTTATCAGAAGAAAATAATGGTTTTCCATTAATAATAAATAATGATAATATGACATCATTAACAATAAGTTTTGATTTTCAAATATTATTATCATCATCATCATCATCAAATGAAAAATCAAATATTTTATTATTTAAATTAGATTCAATTGAAATAACATGTCAAAAAAATGATGAAAAATTACAATGTGTAATTATTTTTCTAGCAAAAAAAGGTTATATTAAAGTTTATATTAATAATAAATGTCGAACATTTATAAATGCATTTCAACGTGAAACAATAAGAAAATTAAATTTAAATATTTTACCAAATATTGCTGTTAAAATAAAAAATCTTGCTATTTGGAAATATGCACTTAGTGAAAATGATATTGAAAATTTATTTACTTATAATCTTTCTTATATTGCTATTGAATATCAACAAATAAAAGAATATCGTAAACAAGTTAATCAAATATCATTTTTAAAAAATCAAATAATATTTATAGATGAATATCTTATACCATTTAATGAATCATTTAAAGAAGATATATGGAAGAAAAAAAAAATACAAGCAGATAATAATGAATCAAAATATTTTAAAACAAATAATAATATAGATTATTCAATAGTTGAATTATTTGGTAATCAAACATATCTTATTTTAGATAAATCAAATGAAGAATGGTTTGAATATACATTTATTCTTAATATATTTATTCCTTATTGGCCAATTATAAATGAAAAATTAACATTAATTAAATTAAATTCTAATGTTGAAATTTATATAATAGATAATGGTAAAATTTGTCTTGAAAATAATGAAAATATATATAAAAGTAATTCAATAGTTAATCTTAATGAATATTTTGATTTATTTATAACTGTACAAGAAAAATTTATTCAAATTTATTTAAATAATAATTTAGAAATTGATATTAAAATAAATGATGATCAATTTAATATTAAATCAAATCGAATTGATTTATTTAAAGAAACTGATTTAAGAAAAAATACAACAAATGAAAATACACTTCGAATATCATTAAAATCAATTACATATCTTAATCGATCAATATCAATTGATGATCGAAATTCACCAATATTAACTATACCACCTTTTTTAATTCTTGGATCAAATCTATTAGCAATGGGATATAAAAAATCCTGGATAAAATCAGTTGTTAAAACATATAAAACATCAAATATTGCAATAATTCATAAAATTTTATATGAACAAAAGGAAGAATTTATAAAACGAGATATTGAAAATCATCGAAAACGTTATTTAAAAATATTAACACGATTAAATCCATCAATTAATTCTCAAATTTTCAAAGATATAATTAATTCTTCAATAGTTCGTACTAATGAACAATTAATAGATATTTCACAACATATTTTTCCATATTGGATATGTTTACAATCATCAAATATTTCTCATAATAATCATAAAATAGAATTTAAATTAAATTTTGATATGCAATGGTTTTTTCAAACTTTTCAAGATGTTAATATTAAATATAATAATATCAATGAATGGATTATTGATAAAGAATCAACAATAAATAATGAAAATATTCTATATGAATTACTTGATTTAAATGAATACGATCAAAAACAAATAAGAAGAAAAAAAACTCAACAATTAATTAAATCTTTAGATAAAAATATTTCATCAAAACAATTTTTACAATCTTGTATTGATTGTGAACATGGATTAATAACAATCTATGCACGTTATATTATTTTTAATATAATTAAATTTTGGTTATATGATCAAACAACTTTATTTCCATTAGAAAAATTTGGTGATTATACATTTATTGTTATATTATTAAAATTATTAGATGATATTGAAATAGATAAAGATGAAAAACATAATCAAATACATTTATTAATTAATTTAATTCTTAAAAATGAAATTAAAAAATTAATTGAATATAATTCTACAATTGACAATAATATATTAGAAAATAAAGCACCATTATTTTATCATTTACAAAAATATATATTTATTCAATCGATTGAATTATTATTTAAACCATCTTTATTCAATGAAAATTTAAATAAAAAAACAATTATGAATGAACAACAACCAGATTTTGATTTTATTTTAAAAATTCTTAATTTTTTTATTGAATTAATAACAGATAAATCATTAATAAAACAAAATCAAATTGATTTTATTATGTCATTAATATTTCCTACACAATTAATTAATCTGATGTTTGATTTATTTTTGTTAGCTCCTACACATCATGCAAAAATAGTTATTATTCATCTATTTACTATGTAAGTGAAGATGAGCGATCTGTCTTTTGAAACAGGTCAAATGTATTAGTGGCGTAACCAAGAGGGAGGGAGCGTGGCAAATGGGTAATTGCTCATTTCATTTCGAGGTTTGCTCATTGTAATTTTACCTTTTAGGGACAGCGTAAGCGGGATAGAAAATTTTCGAAATTTAGATGGGCTCTGAGGAGAGTTATGGGAATCTTCGCGAAGTTTCCCCCGCCCGGTCATCACTTTTGAAAAGTTAGAAAACTTGCACCAATTACTACTGGAAATTCTTTTTTTTTTCTTTGTGGAGTCGAAAAAATGACAAGTGACGACATGAAGGAAAAAGTTCAATTATATGTGTATTAACCTACCGGTACTGTGTTAATCCAAACAATTTTTGGCCTATCAATAAAACACTTGCCCATCGTTTTTTTTCCACACAATGGAAGTTTATCCATTGGTCTAAAAATCTTGGTTATGCCGCTGAAATATATTATATACTATTACTAGATAAACTCAACACTTTATAAAGATATTATTCGTCTTTCTAGAACTTTCTGAAAAATGAGTAAAGCAAAGTTTCCGGATATTGTACTGTATGAGATATTAGGATCACAATGCCGCAAAATAGCTCCCGCTTCATTGAGATGTTATATTCGATCGAGTTGCAAAAAAAACTTTTTTTCGAATAAAGTGCTACAATACATAATAGTAGTTCGGATTTACAAAACTATCCTTGAATTTTTCTTCATACTATAGAATAATCGAAAATCATTGATCTTCATCATTGTGAAAATATTTTTTTTTTTACTGTATAAGTTCTTTCTATTTGATAGTTTACTTCATACAAATGAACATTTTAACTTAAATAATGAAATTCAACAATTTTGTATTCAATTATTAATTGAATTATCATCAAAAACAATGTCACAAAGCAATTGTTCAACAAAAAGTCTTCGCATAGCTTTAATAGATTTGATATTTGTTTTATTAACAAAACAAAAAATTCAAAAAATTGAATTAAAACTTCCTAAACAAATTCAAGATTTATTTATAACAATTAATGTTATTATTGCTTTGACTGATCAAACAAAACAAACATTATTACCTGAAGATTTTCTTCAACAATCAAATGATATTTTAGGTAATAATATTCAATTAAATCAAGATGATTTTAAAAAATGTAATAATGATTTTAATACAATATCGGATCAAGATCTAATTAATTTAATGAATAATGATCAATCACTTAATGATTCATTATTGAAATTTATTGAAAATCTTTCAATAGAATCTCAATCAAATTCAACATTCTATAAAAATTCTATATCTTTATCAAATATACCTATTGATTCTATTCAAATTCGTGCTCAATTTTTATATTTATTAAATAAATTTATTGAAAAAAGTCTTTCATTAATTGATTTAAGTTTATCAACAGGACAAAATTTTCTAACTGATCAATTTCAAAAAATAAAACCTTATTTATTATTTTCAATAAAAGTTCAATTATTTACAGAAACTTTAGAAAAAACTCAATCAAGATATGATAGTGATTGGAATATGATTAATTTTGATATACTTAAAGCTAGTACAAATACTAACAATAGTGAAAATACAATGTTCTATCAAGCTTATCAACAATTACATACAAAAGCTCATATAATATTTCGACGATCAAATGAACAAATTTGGCATGCACAATATATTGGAATGCATAGTACTGATCATGGTGGAGCTTATCGTGATTCTCTAACTCGTATTTGTTCTGATATATGTTCATTACGATTATCATTATTTATTTTATGTCCAAATGGACGTACAAATATTGGTTTAAATCGTGATTGTTGGATTCCAAATGTATTTTCACCAAATAAATCTATACCAAATAAATATAAACGACAATATCGTTTTATTGGACAATTATTTGGTATGGCTATAAGAAAAAAACATTATTTAAATATTAAATTTCCTATTTTATTATGGAAAAAATTATTAAATGAATTAATAACTATTGAAGATATTCAAGCTATTGATTTACAAAGTTTTACAATTATAAATGAAACAGAAAAAAATATTGAACAAATTAAATTAACTGATAATGATAATGATATTAATTCTTTATTTAGTAGTATTATGAGTGAATTACGATTTGATGTTGTTAGTTCATCTGGAGAAACCTATGAACTTATTCCTAATGGTTCAAATATATCAATTACAATTGAAAATTTTAAATATTATTGTTCTTGTTATCGACAATATCGTCTTAATGAATTTAATCGACAAATTAATTATATTCAACAAGGTTTATATAGTATTATTCCATATTATTATTTAAATTTATTTACTGCTAAAGAACTTGAAGAAGCTGTATGTGGAAAAGATCAAATTGATATAGAACTTTTAAAACGAAATACTTTATATGGTGGTGATTATAATAAAAATTCACCACCGATTGAACGTTTTTGGATTGTTCTTAATGAAATGTTTAATAATGATCAAAAGAATTTATTTTTAATATTCGTTTGGGGTAGAAGTACATTACCTATTCGAGATGAAGATTTTCAATCGAAATTTCTTATTACCTCGTATGATGTTTATCAAGGTGAAGTCGATCAAGCACTTCCACGTAAGTATATTCAATGAAGTTTAATTAGAAAAATTGGTCTAAGAAGTAAGCATTTGACTATACTGAATCTATTTGATGATGTTGGTTGTTGGTTTCAAACGATGTAAAAAAAATCGATATTTTAGAAATATCAGCTCTTGAGCAATAGTTATTTCAAAAAATGACCATGATTTGATTTGTTTATAGAAATATGCAAATTTTCATTGAAGTCTATTGAATTTGTTTACTTTATTTTAGGATCACATACATGTTTTTTTACTCTTGATTTACCCGCTTATTCAACGACTGATATTATGTATGAGCGTTTAAATTATGCTATTACTTGTTGCTCAAGTATAGATGGTGATGGTACTGTTAACAATGCATTTAATGACGATGGTTTTGATTCTGATGATGGTAGTGATGATGAATAAAAGATAAACAACTATGTTTATTTGTATCAGTGACTCTGTGATGAAAATAGTGCCTATTTTTTTTTAACTCGAAATAAATTTCGATTAAATAAGAAAATAATGTCCGATACGATTAGAAAAATCTTTCGTTTACATATTTGAATGACAAGAGATACAACAAAAAATTTGATTCAACAGATATTTCGAAATATTGTTACATTAATATCTTTGATGCTAGAAATGACAAAGAATGATAATCATTTATCTAGACTGACGAGGGAACATTTTCAGGTGCTAAAAAGCTTTTCAACCGGGGATGT